CGTACTTTATGCCGAATCCTTCGCCAGAAAGGAAGCAGACCTCGTCGCATGACGTTTACGCCATCGTTGTGATCATCACAAGGGGGGGTCGTATTTGACCGCGAGGGAGGGGGGATCGTATTTGGTCAGAGAAAAAAAATTTTTTTGATAGTTGATTTCTCTTGTTTCACGGACGCTGTAAAGGGGGGTGTCGACACTTGAAAATGATAGTTTAATTCTGACGACCTCCCCCCCCGCCCCCGCTCGACGGCTCGGTTCGATGAGGAAGGACAGAGGGCTGGGAGGGGGTCGTACCAACTCCCAAAAAGGGGGTCGTATTTTAGTATGGAATTAGGGGGGGTCGTAATTTTCAGAAAATGATCACAACGCGATGGCGTGCCCTGGTTTACGTAGTCGGAAGAATTCATTTTTTTGATAGGAAGCACAGCTTCAGACGTCCCGTTGATGCGATCGCAGCCCAGACCATGACACCACCCCCTCTGAAGTTCCGCCTCGAAAAATTGAGCTTATCTTTCCTCAGATCGTGCCAGTAAAATCGATTTCCATCTGGGCCATCGCAGTTGAATTTCTTCTCATCGGAAAACACGACCTAGAGAAAAAATGAAAAGACAAGACAGACAAGCAGTAGGGCACCGCAGCCGAAAGCTAACCTTACTCCAGTCGGTTCGGCAGCATCTTCTAGCGAAGGCAATTCGGTTTTCGCGATGGTGTTCTGTCAGGAACGGTGCCTTCCTCATTTTCTTTCTGAGAATGAACTCCGACTTCTTCAAGACACGCCAAACAGTATTTTTCGAGACATTGAGCTTCAGAGATGACTTTATTTCCCTGCATAACATCGTGGAGTTGGACGCTTCTCTTCAGATACGGCGCTTATCTCGTTCAGACAGCGAAGGAGGACGTCCAGAACTCTTCTTGATTCCATATCCTGCGGGTTCCCTGACAAAATGATTGATAACATAATGACTGCGGCCCAACTCCCTTGCGATTTGACGGTTCGACAGTCCTTGAGCCTTCTTTGCGATAATCTGCCCTTTTTCGAAGTCCGACAATGAATGTCATAACTTGGAAAAGGTGAAAAGTAATGATGATGAGACAGTTTTACCCGAAAAAAATGAGACGCAGTGGGAAAATATGCGGTGGAACTATACTTTTGGGACATTGTCAAAGTGAGAAATTTTCAAAAAATAAAAAGAAATTGAAGTTGCTCTGGAAAGTTAGTTCTCGGTGTTGGCATGCAAATTGGCACTGGTGATTACGATACAGGGGGCCAAAAAAAAGTCACTTTGCCTCATTGACTTTCGAGGCGCTATAAGTTACACTTTATCAAATTCTGATCGGACATTTTTACTACCATATTGAAGAGCATATTAAGTACTATCACGACACTCCGCCACAGCCTTCTGGACGAGCGCCATCGAGAGATTCTGGCACGCGACCGCGATGTGGTACCTGAGATCAGCGGGGTAGTCGATTTCTCCGCCACCGTAGACCACCCTCTTGAAGTCCGCCCGAACTAGGTAATTGAGTGGGTTCAGGTCAGGGGACATACTTCAATATTACATCTTCTTCAGGTACGAAACGCCCTTCCATTCGAAGTAGGCGGGAGTTTTTCCAAAACCCTTCGATTCCATGTGGTGGCACCCAAACCTGTAGCAGCACAAGGTCTCCAAGAAGGTACGGGCGACCACATGTAGGGAGGATATTCTTCTCGAGTTACTTGATGTAACCGCCAGCGCTCACCTTCAGTCGGGGTCTACAAAGAAAATATCGGTCTTCCCCTTTCCAGGTACCCCGGTCCATACCATCAACTCGCGCCTCGGCGAATACGGTGAAGATGATGTCCTAGACCGTAGCGACGTTGCCGAAGCTGCTCGATGTGGGAGGTCTTGCAGATCAAGAGTACTGACCTCCAGGTAGCTATCTGTGGATGACTTCATTCAAGAAGTTTCGCAGCT